AACTATATCTGGACCGTAAAACAAAAAAGTTTCGCATCGGAATCTTACCTATAAGTTGTTCCATTATTCAAGTTCACTTCATAGTACATCGGCGTATAATAAAGTATAGTAAAACTTGAGAAAATCGTTCAAAACGTACATTTTGCTCTGGCCGCATGTATCCCTCGAACCCTTCATGAAATTTGCAGACTTTGCGTCGTAAAATATATGTTGTCCCCTGCTTGTCTGCATAATTTCATAGTGATACGATTTTTTTAACTTGTTCCAATTTACGGGACAAAATGTTGATATTTTGCCCATAAATACCCTGTCGATAGGCCGTAAAACATTGCAAGAAGAACGATGTTTCGTGAATTGTCGTTCATGTTTGATATCAACAAGAAGCTTAGGAACCAGGCTTTCTTCCAGTGTGGGCTACACGGAGGAATAGCGATGTATACACAAAATATTTGAGTCGTTTACCATGCGCATCACTTTATATCCCATCATAATAAATAAAAGTTATGTTAAAGGCCGTCAATACCTAATATATGTATTTTTCTGCTTTAGTTAAACAAGAAACTAAGCAAAATGTATTTTTTTAGTTATAACTTGCGTTTGTTAGGTATGAATAACTTTTCATAGGAAAAACCACTGAGATATATTGCGGGCGCATGTCCTGAATTTCTGGCCATGTAGTTTATGAGGCAACGAAGTATAACATCGACACTATTCCCATCTCTGAATGCTTTAAGGATTATAATCCTGGAAAAAATTACATTCACGACCCAACGTTTGAGAACTAGCAGTCTATAGTTTATGAATAATCACCGAACAATTTGCATTCAGATAGGACTGCTAAAACGTCGAGTGGTGAGTGTAATTTGTTTAAGGATAACATTCATTGACTTTAACCAGAGTCGGGGAAACTCGTTTCATGAACTAACCTGATACTTTATAGTACCACCATGTGCCAAGCATGCACTCTACCACGAGTTAAAGAGCTTCATTTACGCTATTGCACAATCGTGTAACTGAAGAATACTCTTACGGAAAAGGATTAAAGAAATAGTCAAAATACTTTCGTATTCACACTCTTTCTAGTCCAAAGGAGTAAAAGTGTCCGACGCTACACAGAATTTAGGAATTACAATTCACGATAAAACTATATTTTTATACATGTTTTTCTGCTCTATCCTTCTGGCTTGATTTACGACGCAGAAAGGCCAATATATTAGTATGTAAATACGTACACAACTTTTAGTCCTTAGGGAAGCACCGTGACATACGAGATTTTCATTCACTGGACTAATACGTTCTCTCTAAAGTTTAAACACATGTAGTTTTTTTGTTTTTGACATGTTTTGCTTATTCTACGTGCGCGATTTACGTTTAGTCACCTGCACGAAACTGTTTACCGAATCTCATGTAGCTCTGTGGACCAGAATATTAATATAATTGTCTGATGCAACTGAACTATTAAATAGCCATCTTTACCGATAACTTTTTCGTTCCAAAACCCATTAGAACAATTTGTCGTTACAATTAGAACCCTATTTTGTTACAATTTGTTACATTCACCACGCGAACTGGGTTAATTTGCCGTAAATTGATTCAATGCGTGGATTACTACACATACGTAGTACACAAAACGTCGAAAACGACATGCGATATTCGGGTACGACAAAAAATTTTGTAAAATAGTATCAGATACATAATTACGTTTCTAATCGATCAAAATGTAGTTACCTCAAATGGATCTGCGTCTCGCCGTATCCCTAGCTCGTAAAAATACGGTAGAGCAATTCTCTGGATAAAATCTTGGCCGCGAGCCATACAAGGCTAGATTTACTCTAGTGTGATTGTTTTGCTATGCCACATGTTAGGGCAGGGATCACGAGAACCCAGTGACGTCACGCTCTTGCAAGGACCTGTAGGCGTTTGTGATCCTCCCCAGGCTCCCTCAGCTTTGTCCTCTTTCAACAAATTATTGTGTCGCATGCAGCCACGATGCAGCCAAAAAGATATAAGAATAGTTACTAACGTTTAGAGAATAGGTCCTTCATATTCTGAAAATTACTCTTCAGACAATTTTTTCTGCGATTTCTAGTGCGATTTTCTTCTTAATTCTGATGTACGTGAACGAGTAGATAAGTTACGAATGTTCTGAGTATATGTCTCACTCGGATGTACCTTCATCTCAACATTCATAACTCACCCACTTGTTCATATCAATCAGACGAAGAAAATCGCACCTAAAATCGCAGAAGAAATTGCAAGTGTAAAACGGGCCTTTACACTCACTTCACAAGATGCGAACTTTCACAGGAGTGTGAATTTCATACATTTATCAGACCTGATCAGAAGAAGTTGAGAAAAATGCAAGTATAGGCCGTAGCTCTAGCAGGAATCGACCCTGCTGCCCTGCGATTATATAGCTCAACTGGCCTCTGTAGCTCAGGTGATTCCAATATAAGATGCATATGCGTTCCATCATGTATCTTTTCACGTGAAAGTTTATCTGGAGTTAAATACGTCTTCACAGTAAGAGGCACTGCAAACTATCATCAGCATTATATGATTTAGTAACGCATATAGTCAAACAGATTTCTAAGACAATATGGAACAAGAGAATAGGTTTTAGATAATATAAAAGTGTTGGAAAACCATATATATATTAATAAATCGAAAAAGCTTGTTAAGGATAGATAAGCCTCGTTATATAAAGGCTTAATTCAGTCACTATAGTACAAGGATAAAATCAATTGAAAAATAATTGTTAGGTTTCTTTGTGTAGCTATTACGAGCGAAATGAATTGAGCTGTGTGAACTGAGATTGCAAAGTGTGAATAAAATGGCACTAAGCCTAAGGCACAAATGAACAATTGGAACATGGATTGGTTTTGGCCCGTAGCCTTACGCCTGAGAGCATTGTTGTTTTTGCAAGAGTTTCTTTATTATTCCAAGGGCACCATAAATCAACACTCGAATACCCAATATTGTTAATTCTGCTATATCCATGGTTGCAAACAAGAAAACAAATTAAACAATACAATATCGTGACAAGTCTGAACAAGATCTTGAAATGTTTTTAAAAATGCCGGATATTTTTCTCAAACCACAAGTGGTTTTGGTTTTACCTTTCCATTTCACTTCATGCTTCCGCGAGTCTTAATTGGATATGATTATTGCCCTGGGCATTTTCTGTTAACCCCAACGAAGTGATACAGGAACTTTGTTAGCTTATCAAAAATATAACAATATTTCTTATTGTGATAGAGCATGTAAACATTGTGATCTGAAGAAGTTGGGAATGAACAACATTCTAATGTCATGCACAAATGCAAAATTCGTAACCCAAATGAAACAAATAAATAATTTTGGGGTATTTATTTGAGATAAAACAAATAAATCGTTTATGTTATTAATTTTACAAGACCTCTTTCAATATGTTAGATTTACTGTATAGTTTACTATGAAATTTTCGACATGTCCATTTGGGAGAACTGTAGTATTTTATTGATTGTGACTCTTGTGACTTGTATAAATAAAGCTTCTATTCTATCCTATTCTATAAATTTCAGCCATATTGGGCGCGCACGTTTCAAATTAGGCAATGAGAAAACAGGATAAATTCGCGTGCATGCTAGTGTGTTTTGACTCTTGAATTGTGTTCATAGTGTATATGTTTTTCTTAAGTTTGGCGCTATTTTGCTTAAATGAAAAACAATTTAAGACAGGTTGTGGTGAATCGCTCGTGCATGAAAGCCGGTGACGTGATTACGTGCGTCATTGCCTTGGAGTCGAACACGAGGCGAACTTTGATCTTGCATTTCATATTTTCCTTTTGAACCGCTGCTGCGCGTTTAATGAAATTTCGATCTCCAAATTGCTTTTCAATATGTAAATATTGTACTTGCAATTGGATAAATATTTTAAATGCTTTTGACCACTTCAACTTTACGCAAACGCGTTTTCGAATTCTTTCGTGTTATTGTTAAAACATGATACTTGTGTGAATTGTAACAAGCTTGTCTTAAAACATTTGACTTGTTGGGCAAGGGTTGCCTATATTTTGTTTCGAGATAAGGCCAGAGCGCACATGTTGCAAGTTTTTT